AAGTGGCTCATCTTAGCTCTTTATTAAGATTCACGGGGAGAGGGACAGATGCAATATTCTTGCTACTGTTGCAAAGCAGGCAGCAGAGGAAAGGGAGAGGAAGTGGGGGACTTGCAGCAGCAGGTCCTAGTTCTAAATAAATTGAAAAATAAGGCTGGCTGTTACTTTTAATAGCGAGGTACCACGACATGGCCGAAACACAAGTGAGAACGTTGTCAATTAGGAAGCGTAGCAGTTCACACAAAATCAGTGTAACATGTCCATTATGTACATTTTCATATTTCAGAGGAAGTGTCACATTTTTCATCTACTCTTGGAAATGATTTTTTTTTTGTCAGGTGAGGAAGCAATTCTTCACAGTAGAGTATCTTGATAAATGCTTATTGCAGAAATATCCAGAAAGCCGAAAGAACGCATAACTTTTTTTTTTTTTTCCCTCCCTGTTAGACTGCATAGCAGATGATGCCTCTATTTTGCCCTCAAATATCATAGAGGAATGGAGAACAAATTAGTAATATATTTATATGCAAATACATATCTGGAGGAAAAGCAATCTGCATAAAATGAATAAATTCCTAAATTCTCTGTCATCTCCTTTTAGGTGCAGGAAAACCACCTCTGTATGGAGACTATGAAGCTCAGAGACACTGGCAGGAAGTTACTTACAATTTACCCATCAGACAGTGGTATGTACTGCCATTGTAGTTCAGGTTACAAAGGGGTAAATGTAATGAAACTTTGCTTTGTATCTTACTGTAATATACCTTTAAGATCTCTGCAACATCTTCTACTGTTCTCTGAACTATTCTAAAAACCCCTGTGTAGTAATGTATTATCACCCTGTTTTTTGACTGAGCTACTGTTTTCTTTACAAAAAAAGGAAAAAAAGCTAAAAGTTGGAACTTGGACTTGCTAGCTATGAGCTTGTATAACAAAATGTTCTGACTGGTACCTCTCTCTGTTGTGAAGCTCCAGCTTTGTTTTGAATTGACTGGAAAGATCAAGAAGCAATTTTTTAGCAGGCTTTTATAAAGGATCATGGAGAAGCTTTTTCTCCTGGTTTAGAAGAAAATCAGTTCAGCTCCCTCAGTTCCAGTTCTCTAATGCACAAAAGCTTTCATGATTATCAGCACTGACAAAACCAAAATGAACTTGGCTCATCTGCCCTGAGCTAAGAGGTAGGGGCGTGGCAGTAAGTGCAGCGACTTCAAGGCTTGTGCTGGAGGCATAGGCTGCTTTTTACACCTGCAAGTTCATGGTTCACACCCACGTTCTTGTATCTAGATTCCAGACACCCATATTTTAAAATCTGTATAGGGGTAGTGAACTTAATTTGTACAGATTGCTTAAAACTGTAGGAAAATTATTCCAAATATTTTATGTATTTTTACATTATTTCTGGTATTCATTAGAGCTTGCGTGGAACAGTAAAAACTATTTAGTCTGTGTATATGCTACAACACAAATTGGAATAAATGGAAACTCCAGGTCACCTTCCAACAGGGATAGTTGCATTTTGTTTGTCTGGAGTCATTTTTTCCTCAGCTGTCTGTTGGGGAACAGACTGATAAAACAGGAAAGAATATTAATTCAGTTGTATTTCTATAAATATATGTGGGGCCGATTCTGAAAGTACAGTACTCTGTGGAACCCTGCAGATGACTCTCTGTGATTTCGGATCATCCTGTTGTGTCTGTATTATCGTTTCTCTCACAGAGTTTTCTGGAATATCCAAACCCCTCATTATGCCAGAGTTGGGATAATGGAGAGCTGACATAATAATGGAGTTGGCAGCTTTGATCCACTCTGCTACGCGGAGCTATATGTACTTCAAATAAAGAGTTATAGCAGTCATCGGCATTCCCGGGAGCCAGATGAAACTGTATTGCAGGCTGGATTTAGCCTATGGGCTGCCAGTTGGGCATCTCAGTGTTGTTGTATTTGCTCTTCGTCTTATAACAGAAGTTTTTTGGATTGGGTCTGCTTCGAGCATTGAATCTCCAGTGCAGCGAAGTCGTATTCGGTCTTGGGCATTTGGAAAAGAACATCTCTGCTGACACGCAGGGGATTACATTCTGGAATACTGAGGTGTCTTTACCCTTCTGTATTATAGAAGTACGTGGTGTGAAATGATATACTCCAGTATGTAAAAATAGCGTTCAGATTTGAAGTTGAGATTCTGATCGCTTCTAGTGCTGTTACTTGTTTAGTATTTAGAAAAGCTGTCTGTGCAGCCAGCCTGTATTCTTCTGTAAATTTGTCTAAGTAAATACACAGAGTAGCTCTTCTGAGGACGTAGTCCTATAAGATCTCTTCATCTTTTCAGTCTTAATTGTCATGTTTACTGTTAAACAGGCACATACAGGTAATGCAGCTGCATGTTCCAGGCTTATTTTCATTGATCCAGAACAAAGATTTATTAAAAAAAAAAAAAAAAAAAGTTGCAGTAAGCTACCGTATGGTCTGTGCTTAGTTTCCTTGTGTGAGATTTCTCTGAGCTAGAGGCCAGAATTTAAATGTTTCTTTTTTTATATTATTCTTTAGAGCCTTGACATTATTTGTTAAAGGCTACTTTAGGAACATCCTTTCTTATTATACTGCTGATTAAAACTGTGAAGGCTGTTTTGCTAAATATTACTGTGTATAGGGATTGTTTTTTCTGCTGAAACTATGAGTTTATTGAAGGTAAAATTAAAAAAAAACCCAAAACCAAAACGAAACTGGAAAGTTTACTACTAAGTTGCAGACTATTACAATCTCCGTGAAGACTCTGAGCTGCCTTGGCATGAGCAATCTTGAATTGTAGGATAAGAAGCAGAGATGCAACGCAGAGAAATATGATTTATCATCAGTTCATAAGATACTTCAGGCAGCTCATAAGGAATTCAAGATATATTTACCATAATAAATGTCAAAATTTGGCTCCATTTAAAGAGAGAAACTGGAAAAGCCGACAGCTTGCCCCTTGGCAGTTAGACAAGTCAGTCTGTTTCATTGTAACGTACAAAAGGTCTGATGCCTTATTTTTGTAACTTATTTTCCTTGGGTGAAACCTTCTGTTTCATTGTAACATACAAAAGGTCTGATGCCTTATTTTTGTAACTTATTTTCCTTGGGTGAAACCTTCTGTTTCTCATTTGGAAGAGGTGACTTAATTTTGACTGCTGCCAGCCTTCCATGGAAATACCAATGCAACATAATTACAAATGGGAAAATCCTTCTCCTTTCTCTCACGCTGCCTGCCTGAGTTTTGAGGTAGAGCTGGGTAAAGTTGTGGCTGACACATCCGACTGAGGTTCATGACCTTGTGTGGGTTATTCAGGAGGTGCTGCTCTGATAGCCTGGTGTTGGGTTCCAAGGAACTTTTTAGCCCCCTGACTCCTACATTCATGCTGACGGAATTGCCTAGGTGCACCTGCCGTGGCATAGTTTTCTCCCAGACCTATTCTGCTGTTTGTTTGTCTGCGTAATATCTTTATGCCGCTCTTTTCCACTTCTGTTCGCTTGCTTCCCAGCAGCATAACTTGAGCTGATGGTTTTTCAGAATTTTCGTGTTAAGGTCTGTTGAGCAGCAGCCGTTCACAACTTGGTACGTTACAGTCTAAAAGAGTAGCAGATGAAGCTTAACTGTTCAGAAGTCATCACATATTAAATGTACTGTCCAGGAAAAAGGAATCTAGGATTAATACAAAGAAAAACATTTCGAGATTTCCTTTAAACTGCATTGTTTTTATTTCTTTGTTGGCAAATCGACTGCTGTCTTCTGGAATAATTGACACGCAGGAAAAAGTGCGGGTTTGCTTTGTAGATGGAGGTGAGGCCCTGCAGAGCCTGGTAGATGTGTACAGCTGTTTTTGTGCAGGCTTTGTCGTAGTGTTTGGATTTTTGTCAAACTCTGTTCGCATTAAGGACTTTTCCCACTCCAGGTAAGTAAGCTCTAGCAGCGTTTTCAAATCTTCTGTTATGCAAACACAAGTGAGTGTACTCTGAATGACTTTTGCTTTTGTTGTGTTGCTTGAGATTTTTTTTGTGTAAAGTAAAATAAAGCACATACAGAAGTTGCTGACTTCCTTTTGGATTTTGAATACATTGATAAAAACATTCGGTTTAATATTCAGCCTTTTCCTTGGGCTGAAACAAAGCTGGAAACGTAGATCCTTCCTTATTTATTTTTTTTTTTCTCCCTTCCCCCCCCCCCAGGTACTTCAATACAAGTGATAACAACCTACTGTACTGGGGCCTTGATTATCCACCTCTTACTGCCTATCACAGTTTTCTGTGTGCTTACATGTAAGTTTATTATTATTTTAAATACTTACTTCTGTGGAGAATACAAAAGACTAAATTCACCTCTGTTTTTTTTTTTTTCCTACCTCCCCTTCGTGTTTTTTTTTGTTTTTCCTCTCTCCCCTGAGAGGAGAAACTAGAAGCTAAAAAATACCAATCTAGGCAGCTGATGAAATGGGAAGTATTGTTTGCTACTTTAAAGCAGAGGAAATAGATTTTATGTGTACCCCTATTGCTTAAAACTCATACTGCAGGTTTTCCATCATGTAATTATTGCAAGGAGGACTGAAGGGTTTCATTCTTCTTTTTGCCAGGTCTGTAAATTTTAGCAGATTTAGGTGTGACTTAGATTTTTAGCTTTCCATATCAGCCACTCTTGGATCGGTGATGCACAGAGAAAAGTGCTGTAGGCGTTGGGTGCATCGCATGGGAAACCTCTCTTGTATTGAGCGCCTAAGTGACATTTGATGACTGGATATCATGTAAATAGAATTCTGTTATTGGAATACTTTTTCCACAAGGGCTTTACTGCTGTTGGAATGAGACTTATGGAATAAGAATGTAGGTTAAAGTGCAGAGGCGCAGTTATGTGGGGCATCTATGTGAACTGTAAATGGTTTATATTTAATACTTAAGTATGAAAGGTATTTACAATTGTTTTTTTAAAAGTCAGTGGAACTAGACTGAAGGTGGTTAGCTTGTCCTAATAAAGATTGTATTCCATTTTTACTGTTTTCTAAGATTATTTTTTTTTAAAATTGTGAAATAGCAGCTAAAGTCTGTAGTGTAAACCAGTCTAGTGGTGAGGAAAATCTTTCATTGATCACTATTGCTCTTTGAAATATTTCTTCTCATTCATCTTAATTCTTGGAATATGCTCCTGTGCATGTCATCTTTATTGCTGAAGGGAGTGTAAAGGGAAATGAGAACTGTCTACATTTTGATGTGTCTGTACTTTGTTTTACAGTGCAAAGTTAATAAATCCTGATTGGATTGCTCTGCACACATCACGGGGGTATGAGAGTCAGCCACACAAGTTATTTATGCGTACAACAGGTAGGAAAATTATATTTCCTCGGGATGATCATACAGATTTGTCTGGCTTACTAATTTAGCACATTTGGTATCATGCAGCTTCTCTGTCTTCACCGGTTTATTCTCAGTTCTTTGGCTTGGGTGGCTCTGCAGGTCCATTTATGAACCAGGCTCCTCTGTTCATTTCTCTTCTGCCATCGTTTGTAAAGCTGATAAATATAAAATATACAAACAAGTTTTCAACCAAATTGGTTCAGTAAAAACTCTAAAACAAAGCATAGATCCATTTTTTAATTTTGAAAAGAGTGGTGGTGTTTTCCCTTCCATTCTAATAAATATGCTTTTCAGCTTAGCTGGATTTTTATTGTAAAATTATTTTGCATGTAGACTGGCATTCACTGACTTGACAACCTCTTGAGGTCTCGGATCTTTATTATCAGCTGTTATACTTTATCTGAAGGGGAGAGATATTTGGTATTTTTAAAGATGTCACTTTTCTTTCAAATGGCCACCACTTCCTAGAGATAAACTTTTGTTATCAAAAAAGTAAAAAGGTATTTTACCACTTCTGTACTACATTTCATTTTCCTGCAGTCGCTCTTCTGACCATGTGATTGTTTTGAACTGCCTCTACAAAGGAAAGGATACAATAAGTGCAGAAAAAAACTGTAGATAACTGAATTCAGTAGCTGTATCGGTAGGACAGCAGTGTGCCCAGTGTGCTCTTGTTCTGTAAGCAGTGGCAGGTGCCGTGTTATCCTGTTACTGTTTTCTTTCATTTTAAACCTGTCTTTTGCGTAACAGTAGAGTTCCACAAAATGCTTTCTGATTGCAACGGCAGAATTTGTTGTTCATCGATAGCTTTTCTGTACTTCACAAACCTCTCAGTCTGGTCTTTAGTAATTGATTGGAAAAAAAAAAAATCACTGGAACTTAATTACCCTTGAAATGGTCTTTATTAATTTTGAAATCAACTCACTTGACAAGCCACGGATGGATCTAGGAGAACCGATAACCCTCTTTTAACAATAGCCATTAGGAGAATGCATTAAAGGAATTCCAAATGGTCAATGTAGCTGTTGGTATTGCACCTTTATTTTAAGTGTCTGTGTATTTGTTTTGCTAATGCCTTGGGTATATTTGGCTTAAGCCTGCAAAATGATGCATCACTGGCTACCTGACATTTTCTTCCAAAGCCCATGACTACAAAGAGGCAAAGCATACTTTCCCCTTGGAATAACTGCACATTTTCTGAAACTGGTTTATAGAAATAATGTGAGATTTTTCTCAGGCTCTTGAGAGCACACTTAAGAAGAATTCACCAGATGGTTTAAGCATGAGCAGGAGCTGACATAATTCTAGGCAGAATTTTATATTTATATATATAAAATATATATATAAAATATATATATGCAATATATATAATATATACCTGCTGGTTCTGTTTTTTTGTCATGTGTATTTGCTGTAGGCGGATGATCAAAGCCAAATAATGAGTTTTAGTCTGTTTGTCCACATCACTAGTAATTCACACAGATACACTGGAGATTGTTATAATCTAGAGCTTCTTAATTCTTTGTGTCTTCAGACTGTCTGTTCCATCAAACAGCTTGACTGGATCTAGTTGTAGTTGATTTCTTTTGAGAATTAAGAATGCCTTCTCTCATTTCGGCATGTGAGGAACTAGAGCGTGCTCCCTTATTGACTGAGGCTGTGCCAGAAGCCCAAACAGCTGAGCACATGGAAGCAGCAGCTTTTGGACATCAGAAATGAGTGTTAGAAACATTAACAAGATCAAATTCTGTAGACCTATTTCTTTTTGTCCTTTGAAGTAGAACTACCCAGTTTATTCTAATGAAGAAGCTGCTGATATTTTTAATGTTTATTTGCCTGTATTTTTTCGTTGTCTTCACCAGAACAATTGAAAACTGGCTTTGGCGCAGCTGCCAAACCTGAGCTATCTTTAAAGCAATGAAACATACTGTAATGCAATGTAAGACAATAGAAAAACATACTCAGCTGAAACTACGGTCACAGGACTTCTGAACTTCAGTTGAATGGCTGAAGTTTTCAGTGAGGATAGAGATGCAAACCCCACATTCAAAAGGTGGGCAACTAGTCTCACTCCAACACTGTGTAGTTATTATCATCTGAGTGGGGTTTTTTTTTACACCAAATACGACCAAGAGGTTAAAACTGTAAGCAGAGTCAAAGATTCACAACCCAGGTGAAAACACACAACTGGAATAGCATTGAGGTGAGGTATGTGGGAGGATTCTAACTTGAAGTTAATCTTTATTTTTCAGTGTTTTTCGCCGATTTGCTGGTTTATATTCCTGCAGTTATTTTATATTGTTTTTCCTTGAAGGAAACATCTACTAAAAAGAAGGCAAGTATCTGGGGTGTGTGTGAATTAAAAACCAGAGAAAACATACTGTTAAAACAGGGTAGAAATGTAACAGTATGAGACTTAATTAAAATATAGAACCCGGCGATGGCTTCAATTGATGTAAAACTGATGACAGTCACTATATCTTGCATTAAAGGCTTTTCAGTTAAAAAGAAAAAAAAGCCATTAACTTATCTTACAGCAATTATTTTAATGCTTTCAATAACAATAACACGGTGCTCTGAAGTTTAGTAGCCATGAACTCCTGAATTGTATTTCTTTCTGAATTTATTACTTGGGTAGTAAAACCAAGATTTGTGCTGTGACGTGGGGGAAGCCAGGAACTGCTTTGTTTTGCACACTCCTTATGGTAGAACCAAGACTTTTGGAATAATAAGTCTTCTGGTTTTTGGAGTGGTTCCGAGGGTGAAGATGGGTGTGGATGATCTTTGAGCTGGTTGGCAAAGGGTGGGCTGGTCTCCCTTCAATATTTTCTTATTTATGAAAAAACTTTATCCTTTTTTATTCTTACAAATATTGCTGACAGAAGATTACTTCTAGAGAATAAGATTCGTACATATAGGATGCACCATGGAGGGGCAATTTTTTTGTACTGGAGAAGTAGTCTAAGTTCCTCTGTCTAATGTCTACCTTAAAAATAATCATTTTCCTCTCTCTTTTTTTTCATCCTTCTTTCCAGGTTTCTAGTGCTCTCTGTATACTGCTTTACCCAGGCCTCATTCTTATCGACCACGGACACTTTCAGTATCCTTGTTCTGCAGGGAAATGGATTTCCATTTACAAAGTAGCTCTGTTCTTTAGTACTTGTCTTTAGCTGGGCAGAAGGTTACCTTTGCGCACGAAGTCATGTGAGGGGCTTCCGCCTACCCCAAAGCAGAGCTGTTAAAGAAAACCATAAGTCTGAAATACATTGGAGATAAATAGTTGATATGGGGACAAATCAATCCAAACATGACCAACGTTCTTAGTGTGCCTCAAGCTCGTATTTCTGCCAGTCAGTCTTATTGCAGAAAACGTCAGTGGTGCTACGACAGTGAGACGAGTGGTGGCTTGTGCTCCTGTGACTTGTGTTCGGAGAGGGAATCACCCGAGATCCTCTTGAGATGCCAAGTATAGTTGTGTAAAATGTTCCGTTCTATAAAGCGTGCCGTTCTGTCTTGCCTTTACAATTACGTGAGATTGGATTCGCTTCACTTCATGCCTAACCTTTTAAAAGCTAGGCCCCTAATACGAGTTAGGCCGTCAGAGCTAACTAGTCAGTATTGGTGGGAGACACCTTCACAGGTGGGTCTTTTTTAATAAGATTTCTGGTTTGATACTTGTTTTGCACATCAACAAGCAAATGCTGTTCGTTGACTACTCCAGGCTGTGCTGCTTAGTGTTGTTGAGCCAGAGGGACACAGTCCTGGAGTTGTGATAAATGTGGATATTTAAATATTCCAAGGAGAGACTGAATCTCAGCCTCTATTAAATCAAGTTTTGACAATCGAATTGAAATTTTACTAATTTGTGGTTTTCTTCCAAGAGAGTGCATGGTGAATTTGGAAGGTGACATATCTTAGCAGAATTTGAAGGAAAAAAAAAAATCATAATGCTATTGGCTATTTCAGTTGTAGTTTGGGAATTCTGAAATTCTACTTTTGGCGTGACTCTCTAAAGCTGTATGTCATCTGGAGACATCACTCACAAGAACGGGGATGGGAATGAACGTGGTTTATCTTAGGTGAGAGAAGCTGGTGGTCAGAAGGTAGCACAGGGTTACAATTTTTAAATATGTAAAAGATGTACAAGGAGGAAGGCAGCAATCTGTTCTGTGTGTTCTTTTGCTATAAAGCTTTGTTGATGAGATTTCAAATATATGTGGTGGGCTGAAAACAACATAGAAAATCTGAATGTGTTCTCATAGTTATTTATATTGACAAAGAGAAAATACTGTGAAATTTCTGACAATGCAAGTAGCCTTTATTTGGTTTCTCTTATTGTGTAAAAATAATAGTAAAAGGCTAAGCTAATATTTTGTTGCAATTTATTAGTAAGTGTAGCTTAGTCTCTTCAAACTCTGCTGAGCTTGGGAACCTGTTCTCAAAGTCATAAGGAAGTAACGTTGCTTTTAGTAACTATTATTCATTGTTTGTACAGTATTAGCAGACACGGGAACTGGTCATGGATGAGGGTGCACTGCAAGTATAATCACAAAAACCCCAGGAGTCCTTGAACTAAATAATATATTATTTAAATACTGACGTATTTGAATATTCTGCACGTATCTTTTGGGAGCTGGGAGGAGAGACCAAAGCTTTAGCCTTAATCATGTAAATACCAAGAAAAAAAGTTTACCCTGATGCATCTTAGAGTACCGTCACTGTCACCAGAAGCTTGGCTGACTGAATGTACGTTACATGTATAATTAACACACACAATTTGTCCTCATATTTGCCTGTACAAGCTTTGAGTCAAACCTTGGAACACTTTAAATAGAAGTAAAATTACTCCTATCTGTGAACAACATACTCACAACTGGCAATGTGTTTTTAAAGCTAGGTTGGAAAAACTTCCTTTGCGCGCTGTTTCATGCTCGTCCCTCAGGGCATTCGTTACTGAGTACTAAGATGCGTATCCTGTCCTTGACACAAGAAACCATGTACAACTCAGTGAGCCTTGGCTTTGCCTTGTGGGGCGTACTGTGTTTGTCTTACGACTGGGACCTTTTGGGGTCAGTGGCGTTTTGCTTGGCCTTAAATTATAAGCAAATGGAACTCTACCATTCTCTACCCTTTTTTTGCTATTTACTTGGAAAGTGCTTCAAGAAGGGACTGAAAGGAAAGGGGTAAGTGACTTTAAAACATTTTATCTTTCACAAGAATACACCCAGGCAGCCTGGCATTGAGAATGTGATTCTCCTTGTTTGCATGTGGGCATTTCTGAATTCATTTCTAGTGGAGGATACTTACCTTCTTGTAATGTATTCCTCTCCTGCGAAATAAATATTTCTTGTTGAGATCTACGTGAAGTATTTCCACTGAACAGACAGCAAAACCTGTTAAGGTGTGTCCTTTCTTAGCACTGTGCGTTCTGTAAGCCCAGTTAAGTATGGGCTGCAGTGGGTGACCAGATTAGATTGACAGCAGTGGCTCTCTGGTTCTCATGGACTTGTTCTCACCAGTCTGGGGATGATGAACTTTTTCTGTGGTACCGGTAGCTCTTTTGGTTTAGATTTGTTACCTTCAGTTCTGTATCTTTCTTAAAAAAAAAAAAAAAAAAAATAATGCTATAAACTGTAAACTAAGAACTGACTTTTGTTACCAGTAGCTGGATTTCTTTTTTTCTGATGTAAGCTTTTTCTCTCAATTACAGATTAGTGTTGTTAACTAAAATAGTTGGGACAGTGGTGCTTTCCTTTGCTGTCTGCTGGCTCCCGTTCTGTACCGACATGGAACAAATCATGCAAGTACTCAGAAGTCTCTTTCCCATTGACCGAGGCTTGTTTGAGGCATTCATGTTTTCTTCTCCCCCACCCCACTGTAAATGTTCTGTATTCTTAGATCCCTTGAGAAACCTTCATCGTGACCTTTAGGGATTTCATGTGGGAGACACACCACAGAACTAGTAATTTGAGATGGCTTCTTCAGCAGTCATTTCTTGCCAGTTATTTAATCCAGTATTTAACCCCAGCTCAGCTGGCATCTTCCAGGATACTATATGAGTAGACAACACTTATCCCATCATCAAACCCATACTTCAATCCATACATTTTTCCATTGAAATAGATTCCATAGTAATTGACAGTGTCAGAAGATGTAACCTTAAAAGCTAACGGCTTCAGTCTCTGTTTTTGGTTCTGCTCAGCTTTTTTCAACAGGATTCATTATTAAAAAAAAAAAAAAAAGGTGCTTTGAGTGCAGCCTAGAACTTCCTTTTTGACCCACATGCAAGTTTTCACAATATTTCCCAAAAGTTTTAGGCCGGTTCTGCTTTTACGTTTCCTCAGGCTATCGACATTTGCATGCTGCAGGGTGCTGAGTATCGCAGCCTTAATCCAGTAAAGCAATTACTCCTTTACTAAGTCTCGCTGCTAAGAGAAAGGCTGCTCATTTCCCAAGTAACAGGGAGTTGTTGTTTTGCTCGATTAGGGCAGGAGTCTTAATGCTACATTTCTAAAAGCAGATTCTGAACTTCAAGTGTAACCAATAAAACGAAGCTTTGAATTTTCAGTTTTTCGTGTCACAGGGACTTAAGCAAACGCTTGCATAGTTTGAGTCATCTTAAGTCTTCTTTTAATCTTTAAATGTAAATAATACCATGACTGGCACTTTTTCACAGCAGCTCATGGTGATGTACCAAAGGCAGCATTTTATTTAGGCAGTGATATGGAAGTGTTCTCAGTGTATTCTCTGCTAGTTTATTTTAAAAAAACCCAAACAAACCACCTACAAAGACATCCCCATCCCCACTCACCCCCCCAAAAAAAACCCCACCCCAAACAATGACCCTATTCCTTGGGAATTATCCAGAATTTCTGAATAAATAGTTTGGATCACGGCTCTTATTATCCAGTGCGAAGTTTAAAAATGAAATTTGTAAATGACAATAACCAATGAGTCTGAAAGAGCTTAAGGATTTTAGTCTAATATTAGCCCAAATATTTTTCTGAGTTGATCAGGGGAGTGACTTGCTGGAAGCTAATCTAGATAAAATGAGAAATTGTCCACGTAAGCAATGCGCAGTAAATTTATACTGGGGTGCGTGTAACAGGTTCTTTGAATTGGTTCCCATTTACAGAAGCAGCAACAAATGCCGCTGGTTGTAAAATCGTATTGGCTGTTAAGTAGGCGTCTTGTGCGTTCGGTGCTGCCAAACCCTCTGTTCGCTTGTAATCCTCGGCAGATTTGGAGTGCATATTCCGTACTGCTGGTGAGCACATGAGGAAGAGGGCTCAGTTGCCGGTGCTGGTAGCTTTCTTGCTGTTATGTCTACACAGCTGTGATTCAAGCAGCTGTTTAGGGATGAGTTTCACAAGCATGATAGCTGTAGTTACAAATTTAATTTTGAAAGTGATCCTAGCACAACTGCTAATGTCTTTAGGCTTCTTGATTTATTAGAGGTTAACTCTGTCACTGCTAGCAAGTAGTAAGCACAGCTAAATACATTCAGGTATGTAATGAAATGTGACAGTGTACAGAATGTCTTCACATTTGAAAAAAGATTCCTATGTGCCCGTGTTTATCAGGGACAGATAGTCTCAGAGCCTTATTTTCACAAAATGTGTGGTCTCACGAGTTAAGAAGTAGTCTTTTGTGCTGGAGAACTATTTCTCAGTTATTTTAGAACATGTTTTAATCGAGTCTCTTGAAACTTTCCATTTTTGAAGATCAGAATAATTTAAAGTACATCTAAGAATATTATGTATATCTGCAAGTGTCTTTGCAATATCATGGTAAAACCCCCACAATCCCCCACCTCCCAGGCCCCACTGTTGTTATACACATACGCTTCAATGAATGTAATTATTTCTAATTACATTTTTTTTTTTCCCCCCTTCCAGGATAAAGTAGCCAATATTTGGTGCAGTCTAAGCATCCTTGTAAAGATAAAGAATATAGTATCACCTCAAACTCAGCTGAAACTCAGGTAAGACATAACTGAAGTGCATTAAGTAGTTGATTTGCATTATTTTTTGCAAAATGAGGGTTTTTTGTCAAAGAATTATGAGAAGTGGTGTTTAAAGCCTTTGAAAAAATGTTTTCTTTCCTATCCTGTACTGTTCTCCCAAGTGATAAGGGTTCCCCCAAGTACCGTTACGAATATTTGTGACTGAAAAATTTCCTGCTTGTTTACATAGTGATTTAAGCTACTCGTTGGTTAAACTGAGTTAAAGTTTGCATTCTTCCCTCTTCAGAGAATTACCTCTTTCAGTGCTCTTAGAAGTCAGAGCTCACAGCTCTGTTTTTTGACTAAGTGAAAGATTCAAGCCTAGGTCTAGAAAGTCTGAAATACTAATGGGACTGCTTTATTCCTTTTTCAAAAGCGCTTACGGCAATGTGGACTGCTCAGTGCTCTTCTCTTGCCATTGAGTCTCCTGGAGTGATTTGGTACTTCTGATATTACAACTGAATTTCTAACTTAGATAGTTTTCAAAAGTGATAATGTGATATCATGGATGTAGTTACTCATGTATTAAAACTGTTTTTCTTATGAAATTCTTTAGTTTTGCTGTAACGTTCCTGAGCCTGCTTCCTACTTGTATAAAACTAACCGTCCAGCCTTCTGTCCGAGGATTTAAATTTGCTTTGGTAAGTGTATGTTTTTAATTGCTCCTTGTTTTGCATCCAGCACTGGTGTGTGACCAACAGTGCCACTTACAGCTGCTGCAGTGTGCAGAAGCGCGGGTACCGTTAAACGCCGTTCTGTCTCTGCTGAAGAGATCGGTTAAAAAGTGTCTTGCTGTCACGCATCTGGGGGGTCTGACTGGCCTTCGAAATCCAGAATTTTGTCCTTAGCCTCAATTTTCTTTATTTAGTGCTGTATTTTTATTATCCTCCTCTGAAGAATCTTAGAAGATTCCTCCTACACATCAGAGCCTCATATAGAGTTGGAATTCCTCCTCTTTTTGTTTATTTTTCAAAGTGTTAGTTTTTCTTACTGCGTTGGCTGCAGTATTCAATAAAAAAGTCCCGAGATGGACATTGGAGGCTCATTAGCAGTTTGAAAAGAAAATGATACTGTTTTCCTAAATGTTTGCTTTTTCTTAGTCATACTATATCATGGAATTTAAGTACATTAACATGACTTACATGCAAAAATCAGTTTTCCTTGAAATCAAAATTATGTGGAGCTGGGCCTAAGGTTTCAATAGTTACAAGATAATTCCTATTTTTAATTTTTTGTGAGTATTGTTTGCGAGTTTAGTGCAACATTGCCTAAAACTAATGTTTATCCTTTTTAAGAATTGGTTTATATTTTACAGTGTGTTTTTATTTGGTGGGAAAAAAGACAGTTTGTTTAGTTTGATGTATTGGCTGTTCATGATGATGAGCAGAATTTTATGTCAAAAAGGTGGCTAGTTCCCCCCATGACTGAACTTTGCCGGTGCTTTTGTACGTGAACACGGTGTTTACTTAGTGGGGACAGTCTTGTCAGCAAAGCTAACCAAGAGTGAGGGCTCTTTACAGGACGTCTTTTCTGAACAGTTCTGGGTAAGCTTTCAAAAAATGTATTTTTTTGTATGTATAGGTGGTTACAGAAGTAGCTCTGTGTACTTGGAAATTGCGCTGGAGTAAATGTAGCAGTTAATTAGAAAAATCAGATCATTTAGCTCATACCTTCATGTAAATCTGTGCCAACAGAGAAACTAAACCAGCGCTTGGCATTGCAGTCACATGTACTAACGTACCTCTGATTTCCTTCTCTAAGGTTAGTTGTGCGTTGTCATTTTTCCTGTTCTCCTTTCAAGTACACGAAAAATCTATTCTTCTAGTGTCAGTGTAAGTAAATTATTTTTCTGTGGATATATTTTGATCTTCTTTTCCCCATCTTGTTGTTGCGTGCTGCTTTCTCACTTACAAATACATTGGATTTTAAAAACTCCATACATTTGCTTTTCTGAATAACTTGTAAATGAATTGATATGAATACAGCCACGGTGGTCTCTCCTGCTTTGCTCGTCCCTCCGGGCTGGTGTTCTGCCTGCGCTTCCTGGCGTAGGACGGGCACAGAACACAGCTGCCTGCCCGGGGATGGACTGCCTGGGGGCTTGCTAAAGGCGATGCTGCCACAGACAGCAGAGACACGTACCGGGCTGCCCAGCACGGCTGGAGCACGGTGCCAGTCAGTACCTCTCCAACAGGGACAGAAAAGGGGCCCTCTCTGCCTTTGTGTTAAGGTGTGTTCTTCCCAGCCCCCGCCCCGAAGGAGGCGAGGGCAGCAGGGACACTCAGCAGCTTTGCTCTTCTGCGTGAGTGCCCTGTGTGCTCCCGAAAGTAACGTTTGATAAAGGAGGGCTGGAGAGGCACAGCCCTCTGAACCCTTCTGGTTCATGCCTGACGGGCAGGCTGAACCAGTGCCGGAGAACTCCTGCTCGCTCCGCAGCCCCATGCTCCTGGCAGCCTCGCGCAGAGCAGGCACTGACCTGGCTGGCCGTGTGTGCTGATGGCGTGCGGTGCCGCAGGGTCCTGCTGAGTGACCACCCTGCTGCAGAGCCCCACACAGTGCAGAGCGTTTGGGCGCTGGGACACAGGGGCTGCAGGGTGCCTCCGCAGAGGGTGCAGTGCGCCAGGCACTGCCTGTTTCCAGATTCTCTGCGCCGGTGTCTGTGGGGAGCAGAGCCCTGCCCTGCCTCCCAGAGGGTGGGAGTGCAGCATCCATCTGAAGCGTTGTGAGGACAAACTGCTGTCACTTCGGTGTCTGCATGCCTGGTTTTCCTCTTTTCATTCTAGGCCAGTCTGCTTAATCATCAATGAAATCCCTTTTATGGCTACATGGTTTTTACTTGTATCAACTTTCAGGTGAGTTGGACTCTGTTTCTTCCCTAATTCTAGTAAGTATAAATGTATGCTTTTTCCTCTTCTTTTTACATTCTTGTAACTCGGAATGTGCGCTCACTTCTGCGGGTAATTCTGTTTTAACAGCATGTTGCCTCTTCTGCTGAAGGACGGCCTGCTGCTGGCCTACGCCGTGACGATGCTGGCGTTCCTGTCGGTCTGCGTGGCTTCCTTTTCCATTTTCGAGAAGACTTCAGCAGAGGACCTGCACCTGAAACAGTTCTCCCTTTCCCTGAAGGGATATGTTTCTTGGTTTAAGTCATTTCCCAAGATTGTCAGGAGTCTGGTAAGCAATTTTAATTCCTGTAACTCTCAGTTACAGCTCTTCCTGGTGCTGGAGTGCTTGCATAAACCAGTTTCATGTACGTAACTGTGCATACAGCCCCGAACAGGGAAAGCCACGCTATCTTGGTGTAGAGAGGTGCTGTAGGTTTTTTTCTGCTGTGTCATCTACGTATAGATTGAAGAATACAGAGCACCCACATCATGAAAGTAACGGCTTCCTCGTCTGAGGTGTTAAATCACCACCAGCTAATCTATCATTCCTTCTCTTGCAGTTTCTTCTTTCCATCACCCTGATGGGCGTCCTGTCTCTAACGAGCGCTGCGGTGCATCCTCCACAGACGTTACCGGATCTGTTCCCTGTATCCGTGTCTGTTATTTCTTGCCTACACTTTTTATTATTTTTGGTGTATTTTAATGTTGTTATACTCTGGGACTCAAAGAATAGTAGAAGTCAGAAGAAAATCAGTTAACTCGTGAAGATCAAGGACTAAACTGTGAAAGGACAGAGTATTTTCAGTGAACGGTGGCTGGCATTGCAAGTACATCTCTGTGCGATGTAATACCATTCCTGTAACCTAACGAAAATCAGGAGATGCATATTTAAAGGCAAAATAATCAAAGACTGTTTTAAAGGAGAAGTCTTTTGGGAAGCATTTGGAAATGTGATTTGGTGTTTTCTTCAGAAGTGTCATACTTTTGTTACCATTTGTAAACTTGAAATACCCAATAAAGGACCAAATTTTGAATTAATCCTAAAATACCCCAGCTGTGTTAGCAAGACAGCAAAGTTGTTAGCATTAAGTTTATGCGTTTCCCAGTGTAAAAAGCATAAGCAAGCGAAGTGGTGCAGGTCAGGCAGAAGCTCTTGACGGGTAGCTCTCAAGCTGTCTGGCCGAATTGTGTTGTGACACAGGCTGTTGTGCAGTCCGTCGCTGTGCATGGCACGCTGCAGTCCCTCCCGGCTGTGTGTCGGTGCGAGGCGCTCTCCGGATGCTGCCAGCGAAGCAGAGCCCTTGGTTCCTCAGCTAACATTGTAGGGGGGACGACTCGGCCGTCCAGCAGCGTCCCTGGCTGGGCCCAGGTTTGGTAGCACAGCAGCGCAGCTCCAGTTCACCCGCAGGCTTTTGGTTTTCTTGTTTCAGGCCGTTGTCCGCCACACCGATCCTTGCCGTGTGCTGAAGAACAGCTAGAGGCGTGCTGGAGTTAGTGCTGGGCGCGGAAGTAGAGGCTGTGACGTCTGGAGAGGGGGCGCGGCGGGTCGGAGTACCCGTCTTCCTTTGCTGCAGGTCAGCAGCTACAGTTTGGTTTTAACGCTGCTGTAGTCTTGCGACTCTCCACAGGCCTGACATGCTGAAAGAGCTTGGTTCTACCAAAAGGAGGGCTGAGGCACGGCAGTGCACTTTGAAGGCAGGTACAAGCTCGTCAGAAACAAAACCCACAACAAAAACCATCCCTTACTGCGTTGTAATTAGCAGATGTAAACTGAACTGAACTCTGCAGTGTTTCCCCCTGCACAGTACAGCCTCCGCGGCCAACACAGAATCACAGAATCACAGCATGGTCGGGGTTGGCAGGGACCTCTGTGGGTCATCCAGCCCAACCCCCTAAGCAGGGTCACCTACAGCAGGCTGCACAGGACCGGGTCCAGGAGGGTCTTGAATATCTCCAGAGAAGGAGACTCCACAGCCTCCCGGGGCAGCCTGTTCCAGTGCTCCGTCACCCTCAGAGGGAAGAAATTCTTCCTCATATTCAGACGGAACAGTTCAGAGAATACAAAGTGACTGAATAATTATATACATAACAAAGCCTGTAGTAAGAAAATAGCTCATCAAAGATTTCAGGGTAGAATGGTTTAATTAGGAGTCGGGCTATCCTTTCTCTCATTCTGCTCTCACTATATATGCTGCGAGTGTGTGAATCAGCTGTTCTGGGGCCTCCCAACTGTGTGAGTTATGAATGCTGGCCACGAAAGGCCCACGGGCTGAGCGCCTTTACTCTGTTTTCCCAGCTTGTTTGTTGTGGAAAAAGGAACCACAGCCAACACGATACCCAGGGCAGCGAAGGCAAAATAAACAAGGTGCTCTTGGGCAGTAATTGCGGCGTTATCGGTGGGGGGGAGCACAGTTTAGCAATTTACCTACGCTGTAATCGTTTGCTAGAAAGCAGCAAAACTTAAATATTTTCACAAGTATTCAGAACTTTTCTGAGGGTGTGACTCTACTGGTGGTATGCAAGAGCGCTGCCCACAACATGGCCTTTCTTTATGGAGGCGTAGGCCGCACGGCACCCATGCGTATCAGGACACGTAAATGGGGATCTTTGTCTCTGGAGGCTTTTAGCGAAAGCTGAAAACCACAGCGTTCCCTGCGGGCCCGGCTGGGTGAAAGGCTGCCAAAGCCTCGGGCAGCCT